TCCATGTGATAAATGACATAGAATGTTCTAGGAAAAAAACGTGACCCACAAAAAACCAAACCCTTAGACACCAGCTCTGGTGGTGGTAAGTCATGAAAGTCTGAGGTCCCAGGGGATTTGAGGAGTCTGAGGGTCTGTCCAGAAGCCTTCTGGGCTGTCTTCATCTTCCCATCATGGCTCCGTGGGCCTGTCTGGAGCTTACTGCTGACGACAGGCAAGGGGGTGGTCTGGGGTGGGGGGATCCCTTCCCACCCTCCCATGTTGTCTCTCTCGTGTGCACACATGTGGCGTGGGTGCTGTCTTTCTCTCTGTAAAGTCTGCCATTTATGGTGCAGGTGCACCAGGAAGAAGGTGGCGACTTGTCTTTGTTGTAAGACAAAGCACACATATTAAAAGGCTCTTGTGACAATCAGCACCCACGGCAGAAAACAATAAGACACAGTGCGTCCCTGTTTGGTCTGAACAAGAGGAGAGGAGATTTGGATACCAAGACAAATATTCGGTGCCCGAGATGCCTCCAGGAAGGGCTGGCAGGAATGGCTTAGAAGATAAACGCTGACGTCTGATGTTTGCACTCTTGTCCCTGGAAGATGCCTGCTCACAAACTTGGCTTAGAGCTGAAGAGGGAAGAAACTGGGTTCTGGGAGGCAGGGTACAGACAGGCCCTTGGAAGTCAAATGCACAGATTGTTTAAGTGGCCGAGAAACTGGGTGATAATGATCCTTGGGGGATGAAGAAGAAAAACATGAGGTTCCAGTCACATCCCAGGGTTCAAGGTGAGAGGGGCAGGATTGACATCCTCACACTGGAGCCTGGTAATTTTGTTGAAATGTCATTGGCATCTTGATCATAGGACAAGAAAATGTGACATTAAGGGCAAATCTGCAGCAAGATTTTTTATTTTTAATTTTTTATTGTGTTTTGGGTGAAAATTTACAGAGCAAATTCACTTTCCATACAGCAGTTCACATATACTTCGTCTCATGACATTGACCACAATTCACCACACTGCAACAGCTCCCCTCCCACTTCCTCCCAACAGTCACCTCTTCCCTGTGTCCATCCCTCCATGCACTCCTGCCCCCTGAGCTGTCTCCCTGTGCATA